CTTCATTTATATACCACTTCATATTGCGCATGGGATGTCTAAGCGGTTTACAACTGTGAGCTGATTGCCCCCCAACAGTTGGGTCCTCATTTTAGCAACCTCGGAAGGATGCAGGCCTGAGTTGAGCCTCAACCCTGGCTGCTATTGAACTCGCAACCTTGAGGTCTATGAGTGAGTGGCTGCAGTACAGGCATTTAACCACTGCGCCACCAAGGTTAATCAGCCAGAGATTGATACAGAATACAGAATCGTGCTGGAGGACCTACAAATGCCTAGAGAAGTGTTTTCTCTGGGAATCTCTAGGTCTTCCAGCATAACTCTATTGTCAACTTCCAGCAGAGGAGGGCCTAGAGATTCCTAGAGAGAACATATCAAACAAATCTGTGAATAATCAAATCCGCAAAAGTCAAATCTGCAAATGTGGAAGGCTGGCAGTACCTAGGTACCAGATCTGTCATGAGTTCCCTCTTTGCTTCTATTCTTATTTGTTGTATGTATACCTATATCCCTCCCTGCCAATGGGCTCTAGGAAGCATACATGGCTCTCTCCCAGTTTATTCTCATGACAACAACCTTTCGATGTAGGTGTGATGCTGAGAAAGAGTGACTGGCCCATGGTTACCTAGTGAGATTCAGTGAGGACTGAAACCTTGATCTCCCAAGTCCCAGTCCAACACTCTAACCATTATACCACAATAGTGGTGGACAGATGCCAGTGTTGTGTTGTTTGTTGCGGATAAAGAAATATAAAACAGGGAACTACATATGGTCTTCTTGGAGTGATTTGCTTCTCTTTAGGAATCTGCTAAGACTGTTCATCTCCCTCTTTTCTTACTTCTAGTTGATGACCAGCCACAGTAGCTCTGCTGTGTGCTGTTGCCATCCAGGGTGCTACTACTGGTTGTATACAGAAGGAAGATGGCCTTCTGGACACAGCTGGGCTTGCTGCTATGGAAGAATTTCACCTTTAGGAGACGGCAAACGGTAAGATGGCAAGCTCTTACATCAAAAAGTTCTTCCTAATGTTTAGATGGGATCTCTTTTCTTCTAATTTCCATTGGTTGACGTAGTAGCAGAAAACAAGCTCACCATCTTCTAATGGCATCCCTTCAGATATTTAAAAATGGCTATCATCATTTCTCAGTCCTCTCTTCTCCAGGCATACCCAGCTCCCCAAGTTGTCAACTTTGATCTGTTGACAATTTGATCTGTTTAATTTTTTGTACTGTTTTAAATTGTTCTAAATTGGCCAAATAGATTTTATTGTATGCCACTCTGAGATCTATGCAGCTGCCACACTTCAGAATTAATGCAGTTTGACACTCTTTAACTGGGATTTGTAGTTTGTTGTGGCACCAGAGCTCTCTGAGAGAGAAGAATAAATATCTCACAAAACTCCAAATTCCAGGATTCCATAGTATTGATCCATAACAGTTAAAGCAGCGTCAAATTATATTAATTCTGCACTGTAGATGCAGCCTTAATCTTTCACATTTGAAAGTGAGAAACAGGAGAAGAGGCCAAATAAGCTCTTTAGGGTCACATCTGACCCAAAGGCTGGAGATTCCATATATCTATTGTATATACTCGACCTCATGTATAAGTTGAGGGCAGGTTTTGGGGCCAAAATTAGGGGTTTTGATATGACCCATGGATAAGTCAAGGGTAAAACTTAGGGGTGTGTAACAAAGGATCTAAAGGATGAAACAAAGGAAAATGATGGCAAAGAACTTACAAAATACCAGCAGGCACAACTGTTTATGATCACATTAAAGGAAGGATGGATGAGAGAGTAGAGGGAGGGTCAGTTCTTCCAGGACAGATTACATGCTTGCCTTTCATTGCCTTGGTTCCATTTCTTTAAAGAATCAACTCAAGTTTTTTGGGACAGTTTTTTGACTAAAATCTCTATACTTATACATGAATATATACAGTAATTAATTAGCCAATCAGATTTGGCTGGGTGATGATGTCACTAAGGATGAACACAGTGCTGCACAACACACACGCACACACTGCTGCATAGTCTTGTTCACCCTCTAAAATGTCATCACCTTGACATCTGTTGGATTATGTGAAAAATTCTCTGTTTTCTGGATGAGGAAATGGTGCTGAGAGAGTGAACTAGTGCAAAACAAAGTATGAAGCCTCTGGAGAATTTTTTTCTGATTTGTTCCCCCTCCCACCACTGCCCAAGCTGGAAGAATATCTGTTTCCTCCTGTAATTTTGAATCCTGCAGAAATTCAGTTCACTGGCAGATGAGACAGCAGGAACTGCTAAAGTTTTATCATTAGTCAATTTTAAAATCTCAAGTGCAGTGATCTAAGTGGCTTCTCTCTTGGCAGGCTGGCTCCAGTCCATCACTTGATTTGACAGTACTTGATTCTTCCAACACTAAAGATGCACCTTAGATGAAGCATTTGGTATCATCATTGCATTGATTAGGGGTAGGGCAGGTTATAATACTAGCACTTATTTTGTATATGCCTTGTACTCAAGCAAAATTGTGCTGACACTATATATGTGTTGACCAGAGATTGGACATGCTACCTTTCCATCTGGGAGAGATACTGGGAGTATCAGTCCAAAAAAAAATAAATTAATTTTCAGACTCTGCTGTGGACACTGTCTTGAATGATACCTGGGGACAATAGTGTCAGCAATGGCTCTGCCACCACAGCCCACCCTCATCTCTTTTTAGGTCACTGCCCACCCTTGTAGGTTATTGCACCATTATCCTAGACACACTGCCTTCAGATGGATAAATGGTCAGGAAGAGATGTTGAATAAAGAGACAAATGTACATGTGTGTGTGTTTGCTCAGCTAGAGCCCCTGAGGTTGCTTTCCTCCCACAGAGTTCAGCAAGGATATACTTTGTCCTGGATAGCTTCCAGGAGCACAAATGTAACTCTTGCACTGCACACGTCAAGCTGAGCTTTGTACCCAGCTTTTGCAATGCTTATTTCAGCTGCTCCAGTTTGGAAAACTGGCAGGGGAGGGGCAATGCTGGCCCAGCTGTTTACTGGATGAGCTCTTAATGGAGGGGGGGGAGGAACTTTTCAAACAAACCCACAATGAGCTGTAAAGTCTCAAGTACATTTTTATAATGAGAACCTCCAAATGAGCATCACCAGTTTGAAACTTGTTCGGCTTGTTGGAAAATATCAAGTGAGATTCCAACAAAATTTTGGGATGTGCCGTGTTCCGCGTTCAGGATTCCAGCCGTTTGATTCCTTTCCCTCTGTTCCCCAGCCTGAATTCTGTCAAGTTCTGCAGAAACAGAAGACTGGCCTGGGGAACAGAGGGAAAGGAAACATGGAATACTGTGCATGGCCACTGAGCATGTTCCAACACTCCCTAAGTGTAATAGATTTGAACAATTATAATTATCTTAATGCATTATTTATACATATCTCAACTTTTGTCCAATGGTTTTCTTCCAACCTCCACTTTATCCTCACAATAATAGCAATACACTGAGATAGGGCAGGCTAGGAGACTTAGGGCCTTTGCAGACTGCTAGAAATATTGCAAATTGAGTTCACTTTAACTGCCCTGGTTCAGTGCTAGGGAATCATGGGAGTTGTATTTTTTTTCTGAGACATTGAGCCTTCTCTGTCATAGAGCTCTGGTGCCACAATAAACTACAGTTCCCATGATTCCCTAGCACTGAGTCAGGGCAGTTAAAGTGGACTCAATTTGCACTATTTCTGGCAGTCTGCAAAGACCCAGAATGACTGACTCATGGTTACTTGTGGACAGCTTCATGGCTTAGGGCCTGAATGTTTCAAGCCCCAATCTGACTAGAATATTACACTGAATTTTTCCCAACCATGCTGATTTGTTACTTTTGGGCTTTCTGCTAAAGATTGTGCAACCCCTGTGTGTATCAGACTATTGGACTGTAGCTTCATCCATTTAAATTGTCGTATGGATTGTGGGAACAGAACTGGGAAAGTTAAGAGTAAAATAGGAAAAGCCACAAGACAGCAATTGTGTAGCACAATCTTCAGTGATTTCTGAGGTAGCAAATAGAGAAATGCTTTAGCATTTCCATAGAAAGTTTTGCTACACACAGGCACACATTTTCAAGACAGCACTCTTCCCTTGAGGTTCAAAGGAGAAGAGTTAGGCCTCCTAATCTCCTAATCTGGAGGGAAGTGATAGATTAATTGTGGGATGCTCACCAGACATCCAGGCGATTTACTCAGTTATCCTACACTGTGTGTAGGAGGAGGATTCAGACATTACTAGATATTACATTGTGAACTCACCACATAGTTTAGTGATGCAAGCACAACTATGCTGAGAACAAAGATTGCTGGGCCCTCCTTTTATCAAATTAAATGATTTTATTGATGTATTTCCTTGAATACCTACCCCCGTGCCCTTTTCCCTGCAAATACAAGGTGGTCTACATATGAGTCCCTCAGAGACTTCTATCTAAACAATGACCAGAGAAAATCTAGTGTACCTTCAGTGAAATTTCATGTGTCTTCAGGCCATACCATGAACACAGCTCTTCAAGCCAGTATAGTGCTTTCTGGGAAGGTATAGGATTTATTTATAGTTTAGGTTAGCTGTGGTACAGTAGCATTCCCCCGCTCTTCTGTATTTCTTGACCCTATTTTAAATGTCAATTTACTAATTTTAAACATAATATCTTTGGCAATAAATGTGTGGATGCCCACATGTAATGATTTATTTGACCCAGTGAAAGCTGTCAGTTCAGGAGTTGATCTAGTCCTCTGGTTTTAGGAGTTTGTAGGATTATTTTTTCTTAAGGTAGAGTATTTCCATTGGAAAGTAACCTCAGTTTTCCTAACATGTTGTTGTTGTAGTTGCTGTGTGCCTTCAAGTTGTTTCCAACTTATGGAGACCCTAAAGTGACTCTTTCATGAGTTTTTCTTGGCAAGTTTTATCCAGAGGGGGTTTGCCTTTGTCTCCATCTGTGGCTGAGACAATGTGATTTGCCCAAGGTCAACCAGTGGGTTTTCATGACCAAGCAGGGATTTGAACCCTGATCTCCAGAGTCATAGTCCAAAACTCAAACCACTATGCCATTCTGGCTTTTAAACTTGGTACTTCCCACATATATTAACTCCCATCTTCCTCAACTAGCACGCCCATTACATAATTTTCCCCACGTGCCTCTAGAAAGGTTATCTGATATACCAAACATTGGTTTGACATCTATGGATTAGGGTTGCATGCTTCTATAAAGTCTGTATCCATTGATTTCCACCTTTTCTCACCTCTATGCATGGTTCAATTATTGGTCTTTTCAATGAGACCAAACATGACTTTTGGAAAGGGTTCCCACCCACCCCCAAACATGCACATATCTCAAATTGTACATGTTGCTTGAGTACATTATTCTTACTGGCTAAAGTGTGTTTAACCACTGTTTGTGTACATTGGACTTGTGTGAATATTTCAGACATGTACATTCTTCTAGCCTTTGTACAGTCCAGGAGATGTGGGTCAAGCACATTTGAATTATGAATTAGAAATTTTAGAAGAAGAAATCTACACTTCAGTGTCCATTAAAGAAGAAATCTACACTTCAGTTCCCTTTAACATGTTTTGATCTAACAGTGGGATGTACTGTTCTTTCATGTGTTCATTGAGATGTTCTGTGTTTAGCAGAAACAGATATGTGGGATTAGATTCCCCACTAGGCATATCTAACAGTGATAGCCTTCTGTTCTCACAAACACAGATTTGATAATATTTCTGGAAGGTTTCTCATTGTCTTCAGCTTCTTGCAGACAACTTCTGTGGATGTTTAATACCATTTATCTCCTCCCTGCCCTACTCTCTTTCAGTTCCAGCTGCTGATTGAAATTGCTTGGCCTTTGTTTCTCTTCTTCATATTGATCTCTGTACGCCTATCCTATCCGCCCTACGAACAACATGAATGTAAGTACGAGTGCCTGACATATCTGCAGTACAAAATGTAAGGTTATAACTACTCATATGACCTGCCTTTTTCTATTTTCTTATCTTGTGAGCCGCCTTGGATCCTTTCTAGGAGAAAGGCTGCTAATATAATATAATATAATATAATATAATATAATATAATACATGTGCTGTCCTTCCCTTTTGTATCCCATGTAAAACCAGGGGTGGGTAAACAACCCCTTGGTGTGTGTGTTGGGGGGGGGGGCTCACAAAATTCCTCTCCACATTTTCAGACTTTTAAGAAATTAGTTTTAATTAATATAGTTGCAATTCACCCTCCCATTTTAGGCCCAATAGAGGCATTTTTCAATCAGAAAGTACACCAAAAGCCAACATTTGATTTAGTTTCTGTTTTTTTAAAAGGCTTTTTCTGTACCTAAATCAGACCAAGTGGGACCCAAAATAAGGTACAACCCCCCCATTCCTTAGGGAATTATTATTATTATTATTCCTTAGGGGATTGTGGGCATTCCCCACCAAAGTTTGACGTAAATAAATTTGAAAGGTGGGATGTGTGCCCTCCAGATCGCCCCCAGATTATGGTCACCCCCAGATTATGGAATGGCCTGCCAGATGAGATCCGTCTCCTTACATCTCTAGACAGCTTTAAAAAAGCTGTTAAGACGGATCTCTTCCGACAGGCCTTTCCAGGATAGAAATCCCGGCCTCAGGAACCTCTCTTAGGGGAGCCCTAAGGAACCTTCTCCTTAGCCTGCCTCCTCGTCAACATGTAACCACTGTTTTTCCTTTAATGGCTTATCTTTGATATTGTTAATGTTTATAATGTTTGCTTTAATCTGTATGGCAGGGGTTGGCAAACTATGGCCTGCGGGCGGAACCTGGCCCGCCGAGGCCTTCCAACTGGCCCCTGACCTGTGCGGCTGCATGGGACCCCCAGGAGGGCTCTGGCGGCCATGCAGGGCCTCTCCCAGGCTCGGTG